GAGGCGTGGCTTTTCCTTCTGCAGGTCCTCACTCCATTTACTAGCCTGGGACCCCTTTTTAGTCAGCTGTCCTTGGGAACAGAATCCTACCACCCTGGGGCCTCGATTTCCCCGGCTGAGCCGGCCCAGCACGGCGCTTATGACAACGTGCTCTGGAGACCCAGACTGCCCGAGTCCAAATCCCACTTTCCCTGCCCGTGCTTCCTGAATGCTTGATCCCTGGCAGGAGAGTTTACCTCTCTGACGCTCAGGTAGCTCACCAGCAAGATGGAGATAAGAGCCCCCACCTCACCGGTCCTCGTGAGGCCACAATGAGAGCGCCTATGGCCTGCTTCGCACAGAGGCTGCCCTCCCGTGAGCCCTCGGGGCCTACGGGCTACTGCCACCATCGTAGTTTTAGCCGTGAAGGGGTCGGAGGACACGTGTGTGCCTGGAGGCGAGGGGCCAGCCCCCTGAGGCCCATCTCCCAGCTCCCCGTGTGCTGTCCCCCTCAGTCTCTCCAGCACTGAGTGATGGACAGGCCGGCCCAGTGGCAGCCTGGCGGGCCTGTCCTGGCAGCGGCTCCCTCCAGGCGAGGCCCTCTGAGCTGCGGAGAATTAATTAGGCCACATTCCTCTTCCAGGGCTCCTGGGGCGGGCCTGCACACAGCCCCCTTCTGAGCTGCCGAGGGCCCTTGGCTCAGATCCCTGGCAGGCCGAGACGAGGCCCACACTCCGCTCTCCCCTGGGAGGGGCTGGGCGGGCCCTGGTGAGCTGGAAGCAGTGGCTGGAGAGCGGACCATGACAAGTCAGCTGCCCAAGGCCAGCCCTGCCCTGGCTCTGTCCTGCTTAGCCACCTTCGCTGGGCACCCATCACTCAAGCTCAGATTCCTGGCACTGGATGCCATTTCCAGCCTGGCCCCTGCTCAGTGGGCCGGCTGCCTGTCTCCAGATCCTTCCGAGCGAGCTCTGGCCAGACACGCCTCATGCCCTTCCCCTAGCAACGATGCCCTTTCCCTCGTCCGAGCGTGTGCAAACCCTACCCATTCTCCAGACTCCCCCCCAGCCCCCCACCAACCCAGCTGGAAGGGCAGTCTGTAACATAGCCCTCCTCCTGTCCTGTCACTTTGCCTCGTCTGTCTTCCCTGCCAGCCCGTGAGACCCTTAAGTGGAGCAAGCGTGGTTTGATCCAAAGGCATGAAGCACAAGTGGAGGGCATTTCAGGCATGGGAATATTCTCCTGGGAGACATTGTCTGAGGCTGTGATGGGGAGTCAGAGCTGCTCCCTGCTTGGAGCCCCTTCCCCCAACGCCCGGGGCTCTGGCCTGACCTGGGGCTCAGGAGGGCACGGCCCATTCCTGCCTCCCCCTCTGCAGCCTTCCCCGGACCCCCTTCTTTTTTCCTCCCTGAAAGGGGCTGAGAATGGCTCCCTTCCGCACCCGGCCTTTGCCTCTGCTGGCCCATCTGCGCGGACCACTCTTGTCTACTCTCCTCCTTCACGTAGTTGACTCCTTTGAGCTTGACCTCGATGTCACCTCCTTCAGGAAGCCACCCTGGGTTCTCCCACCCAGGGACTCCATCACCGTGTGGATGTCCTATCAGAGAGGCGGTGAGGTGTAGAAGTTTAGAGCCTGGGGTTTAAATCCCAGCTCAGCCACATACTAGCTGTATGACTTAGAGCAAGTTAACCTCACAGCTATCTCTTCTATGGCAATGGGAATAATAATGATAGAACCTGCTGTGTGGGTTGCTGTAAAGAACCAAGGAATTCATGTGCATAAAGCGCTTAGTTGAGTGCTCAGTAAATGCTAGCTATTTTTTTATCTTAATATTTAACAGTCTTTTTCTTTTTTGAAGGGCTCTCCTCTTGGCCTCTGAGGCCAGGAGCTGTGTCTGTCTTGCTCCCACAAGAGTCTCCAGAGGTGATTATTCATGAGCAGATGACTTTTCTGAACAGTGTGGGGAGAGCCACCCGAGGACGGAAAGGCCCCGTCTGAGGCCTGGGCTATGCATCAGGCTGCCTCGTCCTGGACACGGGACCACACTCCCCTCTGCCTCGGTTTCCATCTGTGCACGTAACCTGAGTAAATCTGGGTCATCCTGTGCCCCCTTCTGGCCTATCCCTCCCTGGTGTTCCAGCCCAAAGGAACATAAATTTGACTCACAAAGCCTTGACAAAACCAGTTAAGTATTTATGGCAAAGGCAGAAAAAGGCAGGAATAGGGGAGATTTTGTCCTACGAACTCCAGACAAGCTTCCTAAAGTGCTGACATCTTGCTTCCCGGGTTTGCTTTGACTCAGCAGCAGCTCCTCCCAGATTTCCCTCTGCTCCTTCCGCACACCGTCCCCCCTCCCCCCCCCCCCCCGCCCCAACTAGCTGCACTGAGGTCTAGTAGTGGGTGCAGACTCGGGGCCCACATGACCCCTTGGCCCTGCAAACTTCTTGTCCTGTGGAGACAGAGGTGACCAAGGAAAGTCACAGTAGGACCCCCTAAAGTGCAGGGCCCGAGCTGGAGGCCCCCACTCCCCAGGAATAAGGATCCAAGAGACTGCACGATCACCTTGCCTACACCTGCCTCCTGGGTCCCCTCCTCTCCCCTTTAATCACCTCTGTGACTTAATCATTTGGGTCTCTGATCTCTGAACTCTGGCCAGGGCCACAGGGACCTGTGCCAAGGGCAGTGAATGCCTGCTTCCCTGGGCCTCTGACACACCCTCAACTGGGATCTTGGCCTCCCTCTGCCAGGCCTCCCTCACACCTGCTATCCTGGGGTTGCCCTACTCAGCTGCCCAGCCTGGCCGCTGGCTATTGATTTGGGGTTTCCCAGGGGCAGGGCCATTTTGCATGGGCTGCCAGGGAGTGAGATTCCCCCGGCATGAGGCTCTGCTGAGATTTGAGAAGCGTGCCCTGACCCTGGGCCTCCTGACTCCAACCCTCACTACCCAGGATGCACTGTGGACCCCTGAGAGCTGGGGGTGAACTTGCTCCCCTGTTCAGTCTTGCCCTGTGCAGCCCTCTGGTGGCATAGTTCCAAAGCCCAGCTCTGACCAGGGCTCCTGTGACTCAAAAACCTTTTGTTGCCCACCAGAGAAGGTCCAGCCTCCTTGCTTGGGCCTCGAGGTCTCTCTGGCATCATCTCCTGCTGTCCGTTCCTCACCGTGCTCCAGCCACACGGGGTCCTCCACGGGATCTGCCTCTGTCCCTCCTGCTACCATGCCTTCACCCTCCCTGTTCCCTCTGTCTGGAATTCCCTCTCCAATTTCTTCCTACTTGAGTCTTACTCATCTTTGGAGGCTGTGGGAGCAGCCCCTTTGTCCAGGAGTCTTACTCTGACCACTTCCCTTTACCCCAGCTGCCCTGCCTCGGGTCCTCCAGCTAGGGGGCTCTTCTGCTCGTTACAGAATCACTTTCGGTGGCCCAACAAGCAGCCTCTGCCTCTTATCAGGCCCAGGGCTGAGCCCAGCAGTCTGTTTCGTGTTCATACCTGCCCTACAAGCTAGAGACTATTGTTTCCCATTTTGTAGATTAAAAAAAACAAAACTAAACTAAGGCCCAGAAAGAGAAAGAGATTTGTCCCGGGTCATGCTGCAGTGGTGATCCATGAATTCATTCAATAATATTTAGCAAATACACACATCCATACATCCATATGTACTATAGATGCTGGGTTCAAGTCCTGATGCCACCACTTACCGTGTGACCTTGGGCAAGTAAATTGCCTTCTCTGTGCACCAATTTCCTCATCATTAAAGCAGAGGTAATAAAAGTCCCTATGTTATAGGGTTGTTGAGATGGAGAAAATGAGTTAATATGGGTCAAGTGCAAGTATACGGTAGGATTTCAATACGTGTGGCATGTTATTCTCCTATGAGGGGGTCAGGGCTGGCTTCGTGGACACGGCAGTGTGTAAATAATTATCTTGCAATAGCCGTTCAGGCCACCTGCCACTCCCAGCACAGGCCAGCCAGGAGAAAAGGGAACAGCTTGTCGCAGGAGGATTTGGCAGACATGGAGGCTGTGGGTCCAGGCGGCCACCAGCAGGGGTGATTGTGACTGCTGGCCATCCCTGGAACTCCGGTGGGCTGCTTCTTGGGCCTTGGCAGGATTGGCCAACCCAGGCCTAGAGCCCTGGGCTTCCTCGGTCAAAGCTCACTTCTTGTTCACTAGCGAGGGCAGAGGCAGGCGACAAGCTAGGGCCAGGCCGTAGCTCCACCACAGCACCCATCACCGGCCCCTCAGGCTGCGCAGAGTCTCGGGATCCATCTGGCTCCAGCCCTCGCTGGCCAGATTGACTCTGGGCCTCACGACAGTTCCCAGCGACGGCTGCTGGAGCAGAAGAGGGTCTTGACTCCTTCCAAACATGCTCTTGGGAAAGGCCTGGCCATAGGTGACTGGCCCGATGGGAACACAGGTCCTGGAATGCTGGATGTCAAAACTGCCAACAGCTGCCCAGGCACATGGTAGGCAAAAGCCTAGAGAGGCTGAGTTAGCAGCTAGAGGTGCCCAGCAAGGGCACGGAGAGTGGAACCCAGGGCTCTGGCCACCTGCCCCAGACCCTTTCTCTCTCTTTTCTGTGTCCCCCTAACCTCTGAGCAGCCCCTTCCTGAGAGGTGCCGCCCACCTCTGCTTCAGCCAAGACAAAATGCCAGAGTACCGTTTCATCGTTTATTACAAACACAAGTTCGCAGGTAAATAATTGAGTTTAAAAAAATACATTAAAATAAATAATCGGAAGTCTCAAAGTTCTGAGAGCAAATAAGTTATATACAGACGGATGAAGCAGAGCAGGCCGTTCTCACCAGGAGTGTCCCGAGGACATGGGGGTGGGAGGACTCTGGGGAGGGAGAGCTCGAGGGGACGGACACGGGCCACCCAGGACACCAGCCCTGTCCAGCCTCCAGGGCTGGCTTCGGTCTGAGCGTCCACTACTGCTCGTTGATCCTGGTTTGTAGCCAACAGACAGGAAACCTCTCAGGACGTGGCCTCCAGGTCAGCACGCTCCTCATGCGGTTCCTTCCAGCGGGGCGGTGGGGCCAGGGCTGGTGGGGGAGGCCGCTCTGCAGCTGAGGGGCTGAAGACTTTCCTGGGCAGGCGGAGGGCGTGAGCTGCCTTGGGGGAAGCTCCCTCACCCGCGCAAGGAGGCCAGAGCTTGTGCCACCCCACCAGGTGGGGTCCCTGGCGCTGGGCTGCCCCTCTCCTCGCGGCTCCACACAGGCTCCTTCCCAGCATTCCTTGGCAACCAACGCTATCTCTTCCTCTGCCTGGGGTGTGTGGGTCTCAGCTCCCTCACTGAATCCTGGTGTCGCCTAGCAAAGCGGATCTTGGCGGCAGAAATGTCCCTGGAATTGAGAAAGGTCCCTTTAGCATCTCGGAAGATATGGGCTGCCCAAGAGTTCCCCAGGACAGGCAGCAGTGACAGGACCTGGCCCCCTTAATCACAGGTGCCCCGGGGTCGGAGGGCAGCCACAGCTTACTCTGGAAACAAAGTCTGCACATCAGGGACAGGCCAGACCAGGCCTAGAAGCTCCTCGGCCCACAGGGACTTTGAGGAAGCTGATGTTCAATGTCAAAGGCTGCCGGAATGACTGGAGGGCCAAGAACAGTGTACCTCCTGTGACTTGCCTTCCCACTTCCACACCTTTGCTCCTGCCATTCCTTCTAGGCTCTTCACCTCCCCTTCACCCAAATTCCATTGACCAAAATTCCCATTCTTCAATGTCCAGATCAAGGTGGCTCAACCCAGACAAATATGGGTCCTAGCTGCCCTTTGAACCAGGACGAGACCCTGGCAGGGACTCTGGCGTCTTCCAAGTGGTCTTGTCCTGGCTCCAAGGGTTCTAGCCTGGAGCTGGGAGCCTGGCTGCAGTTCCCAGCTACGGGAACTGAGGCAAGTGTGGCAACCTCTCCAAGCCCCTTCCTCAGTCTGTAGAATAAACACAGGCCTAGCCGGTGTGAGGATGAGTATGGGTTGGCAAAGCAACTCTTCACCTACTACGAGGTGCCGTGCACTTGCAAAGTCTGAATCTTGATTTTTTTCATCCTCGGGAAGTTCCTAAGTATCTGCTGGGTCTTCCCTATCCCTTCCCCATTCTGCTCTGTCTCCTATGTTTCAGCCTCTCCACAAAAATGGGAGCCCCCAGGGGGGCCACGCTGGGCCCCAGCACTGGCCAGCTCCGAGGAGCCTCAGGGACAGAGGTCTGAATGGTTAACACCCCTCCAGAGCTCCCACTGGGTGCCAGGCCCTGCCTGAGGACCTCCACCTACATCAACACATCCAACCTCACACTGACCCCTAGAGATGGCTTGCAATGGCGTCCCTGGTTCAAAATGGGAACTGGAAGCACAGAGAAGTGAAGTGATAAGCCCAAGACCACAAAGGCTTGTTTGTGGCAGAGTTGGGGTTCACTTTGGCCAGTCCTGGCTCAGAAGCTGCCTCTTTAGCCACTTGGCTGCACAGCCAGATGTGGGGGCTCTATTCTCAAGTCAGTTTGGTTGGACAGACATTCATGGGCACATCCCGAGGGCCAAGCCTCAAGCTGAGCCATGCTGAGGCTGCCAGGAAGGGGATCTGGTCTGGGATGGAGAGGAGGGGGCAGGCTAGATCGCTGACCACTCTGGACCTAGCACGTAGGAGATGCTCACCACCTGAATGAACACCTGAGGGCCTTCCACAGTCACAATCCCTCAGCCCCCACCTAAGAAAGTCAACCTCTGGGCCTGGTGGGGACAGAGAGCACAGCAGCTAAGACCCCCAGCTCTGGAGCCTGCCAGATGCCTGCCACGGACTCCTGGGACCTTGGGCAAGTGCTTTTACCCCTCTGAGCCTCAGTTCCCTTGGCTGCCTGGTAAGGACCCAGTCCTGCCTTCTATGGAGAATGAGGGCAACGTGCAAGGCATACAGGAGGTTCTTGGCCAGTGCAGGCACCCCTTACCTCAGCTGTTGGAGGAGCTCCCCTGCAGACATCCATGTCCAGCCAGCCTGGACCATGTTGGCGGGGGACCCGGTGCCTGGGACTACCACAGCTTCAGCCCTGAATGAACAGTATTAGGACCCGAGTGAGGGGCTGTCCAGGGCCCTGAGAACATGTGGCTGTGGGCCCAGTGGCCACCGCCCCCCCAAGCAGATCCATTTCCACCCCTGTGCACCTGGCATCCTTCCTTTCCCAGGCGGGGTGGGGGGTGAGGAAAACTGAGCTGCCGGGAATGCGTTCTTAGCCTCAGAAAGAGGCAGCTGGGTGCCTAGCCTTCCCAGAATCCAGCCACCTGCAGGTGCGCACAGTCCTTTGCAGGAGAAACTGAGGCAGGGGTGGAGCCACAGCTTGAGTCTCAGAAGAGTTTCTCATAAATCGTCATAGGAAAGGCAGGTTTGGGACTGTGAAGCCAGTTTCTACTTTCCCCAAATGCTCCAAGTGGATGAGTGAAGGAACAAAGTCTCCCACTCCTTTTACAGGTGGGAAAACTGAGGCCCAGAGAGTTAAGAGACTTGGCAGAGCTCCCCACCCACTGCCCTCCAACCCCCAGCAACTCTGTGACAACCTTGGGATAGTGCCACAGCCTCCCAAGTCTAGATGTTACTTCTCCACCCAGAAAGCTCCAAAGCCCTCCGCATCACAGCCCAGAAGCCAAAGCCCAGTGCCCTTGGGCAGACAGACTGAGGCTGAAGACCCAGCTCTCCTGACTAGCTATGCAGCCTGAGAGGACAGGTCCTGTCCCCTCTTTGCCTGAGCTGCTTCTGCTGTCACTTGGGGAGAGTCCCTCCTGCCCAGGAGTGAGGCTGGGATGCTCTCAGAAGCCCCCAGAGCTGGGCAGTGGGAGGGACTCGGGGTGACTGGTTTACCACAGAAAGGGACACTGCCCAGAGGCCCCAGGCAGCCTACGGGCTCCCAGGACCCTGCTCCTCCACCATTAGCCACTCTGCTCTGCTGGTCTTCCAGGTACCCTGCGCCCCCGACCCCTGCAGGCTGGGTGCCCACTTACCAGGGTCTTTGATGGCAGAAGGTGGCACAGGCGGGGTCCCCACCACTGGAGCATTCACAGCGCTTTGGCAGGGAGCGGCGCCGGCGTCTTGGCGGGTTTCCCAGGCCGTAAGGAGCTGTCTGTCTGTGGGCAGGCAGCCAGCAAGGTAGCAGAGTACGGTGGAGAGATAGGAGGGGAGAAGGAAAGGGAGAGAGGGTTAGATAAACTCCGACCACTGGCAAGCAGAGACTGCCACAGCGCATGCTGGGACAGCCACCCACGCCAGCAGGGTGCAAGCAAAACGTTACCAGCCCCTGGCCTCATGAAGCCCCAGCACAGGCCCCCCCCTGGTGGCCAGGTGGTCCTGGACAAGGTCCGTCCCCTTTCTGGGCCTCTGCTTGCTCCCGCAGCCCTGGTCCTGCTCAGTAAGCCTCCCAGCATGGAGAGGAGGGGCTGAAACAGTGCTCCCTCCCTAAGTCGGGAAGTGGGGCGTCCTCCCAGCCCCTCCCCTCTCTCCCAGCCAGGAACTTGAGCCGATGGAGAGGGCCAGGCTGGTCCCCCTGGAGGAGGGGAGGAAATGCCATCTCACAGAAGTAAACATACAGGCTCACAGCTAAGCTGCCCTCACCTGGTCACCCCTTGACTGGAGGGGCGATAAATGTGTCTTAGAGCTCTGACTTAAAACTGGTGTGCGTAAGTACTCGCGTGTGTGTGTGTGTGTGTGTGTGTGTGTGTGTGTGTGTGATCAGGGAGGATTGATTTCAGATGCAAAGTCTGGCCAAGGCAGGCTGGGGGCAGGGCAAGGGCCCTGTGGCTGGTTGGACCAGCACCTTTGGGTGCCAGAGCTAATTTTAGACAATGTGGTTGAAGTTATACTGACTCCAGGTAGACCCAGCACGCAGGGACTGGCAGGGTTCCCGCCCTGAGCGAGTGTTTGGATGCGGATTAGCTCCACACACGCTTACGTGCAGGGCTTCTCTTGCCTTTTGCAATTTGGGGAAGGGAAAAAAAAACCCACAAACACACAGAGAAACTTCAACTCGAAGTATGCAGTGGCCCGGAGGCAGTGCGGGTGCAGACAGAAACAGACAGCACGGGGCTCCCACCCTAGCGCTGCGGGATGACACAGGCCAGGTTTCTCATCCTGTCACTGGGGACAGCAGCAGCGCCTGCCTCATGGGGAGGACGGGGGATTCGCGAGCTGATAATATACGAGCAGTGCTTGGCCCGGAGCCTGGCCCCGTCAAGGCATGGGTGCTGTCGTTAATCGTCTTATTCTTGGAAGATCGTGCAGCGGCAGCATGGCAGAATGCACGTGAGCTTTGGCAGACATGGGCCTAGGATGGAGCCTCCACCTACCACTTACTGCTTCCTGTGTAATCCTGGGGCAGGCACCCGACCTCTCTGAGCCTCAGTGCCCTGATCTGGAAAATGGGGCCAAGAGCAGGCTGTTGTGAGAATTCTTCTGAGCTAGCGCGGCATTGCTTAGGCAGCCCCCACGTGGGAGTTGGAACAATAACCAGTAACTCTTCATGTTAGCGCAGCGATCCTGTCTGGAGGCCCAGGGAGCGCTGTACTCCGCGAGACATTCCCCATCCCCTGCCCCGCTTCCAGCAGCCCTGCCTGGATCCCCGCAGTCGCTCACCCGGGAGTGTTCACCCAGATGATGTCCAGGTGGCAGAAGTAGACGCATTCCTTGTCGAGCCAGGAGCTGCAGGAGCAACGTCGAGGCCGCAGGTGGGGGCCTCGGGCCCGGGGTGAGGGCGCCGGATGCTCTGGGGCCGCCGCAGTCACCTGGCCCTTGCCTGCGTGCACAAGGAGAGAGAGGTGGAGAGCTCGGTCAGGGTGCCTGGCACAGCTGGGCTAGGGGACCTGCCGGGCTCCTCCTCTTGCATAATCGAGGAAGTTGGCATTCTCATTGCTCAGGAGCTGCAGGTCAGCCCGGGGAAGCCCCAGCGGCCCCGGTGGGAAGGGCCGGCGCTGCCCAGTGCCTGCAGCACCGCTGTCCCTGCAGAGCTCCCTGAAGCTACCAGGGCTGCGGGGCTCCCACCCCTGAGGGCCCCCAGCTGACTGGCGAGTACCCCCAGGGGGAGGGAGACACCTATGAGCAGACCCGGCCGGGGGCGCCTGCCGTAGCAGGTGAGGCTGGGGCGGCTCACCTTCATGCAGAGCCAGGAGCAGGGCCAGCACGACGGAGCACCAGGCCGTGGGCACGGCGACCATAGTGGCGGCGGAGCACAGGGGCTGGACTAGGGGAGGGAGCGCGCCTGTTGCCAGCGTCCTCCTGCCAAGCCGAGCCGATAGCTCATTGCCTCAGTGCCCTGGCTGCTTCTTATAACACCAGTCACGGCCCCGCCCCTGCCCATCCAGCCCTGCCCCGCTGCACAGGAGAGCGATGACACCGCCTCCACCCGGGTGCGCCGCTTGCCCCAGCCTCCTCCGCGGTGGGGGAAACAGGGGAGGGTGGAGGCGGGAGGGAAGGCCCCCCGCTCGTCCCTCTGTGCCTGGAGCACCTCCTGGAGTACTGCAGCTTCCCTGCAGTCGCCAGGGACCCCTCCTGGTTCTGCTGGGCTGCCTCAAGTCATCCCCAATGTGCCCTGACCCCCTTCTTCACTCTGTGTGGCTCTCCAGGGGTCTTGCCCAGAGCTGAGAGTTGGAAGGGGGAGATCCACGAGCAAAACCCTCCTTCTCCTTGGAGGAGACCTTGCCATCCCACCTGCCCACTGCCAACCAGGCTGAGGATGCCCCTTCTGTTGTGTGGGAGGGGAAAGGGGGTGCTCAAGGCTGTGTGGCCTTGGGCAAATCAGAGCCCTCTCTGGGCTGGCTTCCTTCAGTGAAGGACACAGTTCACCCCTGATCTCTGACCAGCCTGGAGCTGCCTCATCCCTACCTCACCCAGGAAGTGCCCCCTCCCCTCCTTCCTCATTTCTCCTCCCAGGGCCTGGAGACAGGCGTTCTGGTCCGTTCCAGAACTTATTGCCCCTGTGGGCACACACACAAAGTACCCCTTGAACGATCTCCCACCTTGGATATGACAGGGCACTTGGCTCACTCCGTGGCTACTCTTTTCAAAAAAGGCAAGTTGGGGGCGGGGGGTGCACCCTGGGGGCTAGCATTCCGCTCCTGCCTCACTGCTAGCTCAGAAGCTGGGCCTTGCTGGAGACAGAGTGGGGATGCACTGGTGCTGAGCTAAGCAGCTTGTGGGACCAGCAGTCGCCCTCTGTTCCTGCCCAGGCCTGGCTCAGAGTCCACCTTCCGTGACGGCTTTCAGGGACCCTGTCTCCAGGTACACCAGGAAAAGCCCTCTCATTTCTCGGAACTCCCAGAGCCTCACTCTCCTGCCTGCCTGACTCATGATGCCGGGCTTATCTCCCCAGCAATCTCGAGGTCCGGAGCTCCAGAGAAGGCAAGGCTGGAGCCGGCCTGGCACACAGTAGGAGCCCTCTGAGTGAATGCTCTCCGAGGGAGGAGAGAAGGCATGAATACATGCCTGGCTTTGAACTGTGGAAATTAGGTCCCTAGGAACCCAGGCTGCTCAATTTTTAGTTGCCGTGTTCAGCAGCGGTTTTGTCATCCGACATTTATGGAGGGGGAAACAGATGACCACAGAGAAACAGGCAAGCCTTGCTTCATCCTAGGGCGTGACCAGAGCATACATGTGCGTATGGCTGTGTGCATACCGTCTCGGTACAGAGGGCCAGAACTTGAGGAGGGAGAGAACCGTCAGCGTGATCTTCCCCCCACCAGGCTGGGTCAGGCTGCAGTGGAAGCAGGAGCAAACCTTCCAGCACCTACTGTGTGCTCAGAGCATTTTCAGCTCCCCTCTGTCGTGGCCCCGGGAGGCAGCTGTTAGGATCTAGGGATCAGCTCCACTCCTGCCCGGGAGACTCAGAGAGGGGCCTGGCTTGGCCAAGGTCATGCAGCTGGTGGATGCAGAGCTGGCACCAGGACTCGGATCTCGGTCCCTCCAGCAAAAACCAGAGACTCGCCACGCAGTGCTCACTGCCCTCCCCAGCCAAGGTACCTCTCTAAGAATTCAGAAGAGTATTTCTGGAATGAGGTGAGCCATACTCCTAGTCATTTCTATTAGCCTCCCGGAGAATATAAATACGGAATTAAACAGGGTCAGGGTGGGGGAAGGGACGGACAGAGAATTCAAACTACTGAACCGTGAAGAGAAGAAAGAAGAACCAGCAGGTGAGCGGGGAGCAGGAGGGGGTCTGGGGGGGGGGGAAACAAACAGGGAGGCAGATAAAGACCCGTAGGGAGAGAGGGAGGACAAGGAAGCAGAGCCTCGCGCGAGAGAAAGAACTCGGATTTGAGAAAGTAAAAGAGAAAGACCATTTGGAAGGAGAGTGAAGGTTCTACGGTGTCTAATCTTTACACAAATGCACAGTGCTGCTCAGGACAATAGGGAACCAGAGGCTCCGAGTCTGGGAAACATAATAGAAGAATTAAACAGACCAGGAGACAGGATCCCTCTCTGGTGTGAAAGGAGGATGACGACAGGGCAGGGGCCGCTGCCCAGGCCGCGCAGGGTCAGTGTGGGGAGCTGCACCCGGCTACAGTTCTCCTCCTTCCCTGCGCGCAGCAAACAGGGCCCCTGTTTCACCACCTGTGAAATGGAGAGGCCTGGCCGCGGAACCTGACCGAGCCCAGGTCCTAGGGGGCAAAGCCTTCCCGGAACAGGGCTACCCCACCGGCAAGAGTTGGTTTCCAGGTAGAGAAAATTAAGCTGAGTTAAAAATAGCCAGCCCCAGCCCCAGCCCCATAGCTCTCTCGCCTGGCCCTGATGGTCACCCCCTGCCCCTCCTGGCTGGCCTGGCTGCATGGGCCCCAACCCTACCACTCTGGCTCCCATCAACGGCCCCGGCCATCTGCCCTGCGGCACTGCCCCATCCCCATCTGGCCCTGTTACCTGCCTGGGCTGCTAAAGGCTGCAGGTCAAGGCACAGGGATTCATCGAGGGGCCCCCTGTCAGGATTTGAAGGGCATCGTTTTGCACACAAAAAATCTGCTCCACTTATGCTTGGCCCGGGCCCAGTCCAAGGAGAGATTTGTGGGGAGGACAGGCTGGCAGAAGAGAGAAGTTGAGGCATATTTCTGGGTGAGACACTGTGCCAGAAACTGCCCCCCAGAAATTCTCTCCAGTCTCCACTTCCACTTGCTGGATGGGATAACGGAGGCCCAAGAGGAGGAGCAACTTGCTCAAGACAGTGATGGGGCCAGACACGTTCTCTTGGCTACTAATCCAGCCCCACTCTTTCCAGTGCACCTGTGAGGCTGCCAGGGGTCCAAGTGGAGCCTCTGGGTCTGTATGGGAAGGGCTGCCAGGAAGGACCCACTGGCAGGAAGACCAGGGCACTGGGACGGGGCTAGGCCATCTTTCCACGCACCCCCAAAACTCCCCCTCTACCCTCTGCACTAAGAGTAAATATCTTAGGCTGTCCAGCAGCTGAAGCCACTGTGTGGGACTGAGGATGCCCAGGAGTGAGGATTAAATGTCTGGTGATGGGGGCTGGAGCAGGTGCCTGGTGTAGTTGCAGGACCAACAAGTGTTGTCCCAGCTCTGCTATTCATACTGTGTGGTCTTGGACAAGTCCTGCCCCTTTCCTGGCTTTCCCAAAAAGTTTTTCTGCTTTCCTATTGACTGAGAGGGGTGCTCTCAGCTCTGAAAGCCTATGGCATTCCCAACCAATCTGACCTTCATTTAGAGCTCCCCAGACAGCCCTGCAACCTCTCACTCCCCCTTTGGACCCTCTGCTCTCTCCCTTCTGGAAAACCAGTTGCTTCCCTGTTGCCGCCACCCTGGCCTCACTAGGTTTCAGGAAGTTCTGTCTGCAGCCCCACTGGAAGGGACACAGCGTCTTGGCTGCAAGCACATACCGTGCAGGCGGCTTAACAGAGCGAGTAGATAGGAAGATGGGGCTGGCCAGGGGGTGATGTCTGGAGTCTGCAGGGGATGAGGGGTTGGGGAGGGTTTGGCCCTGGAGCCAGCCTGGGTTGGACATTGAGGGACTGAAGAGGTTCAGACATTCCTATCATCATTTGTCCCCAAGGCTGCAGGTCAGGGCTGCCCCCTTTCAGGCCTGGGGCCACTCAGCCTCAGGCCCTCTTTCTGGTGGGTGGTCTGGGCCTCCTGCCATCAGCCAGAGCTCACCCTGAGCCAGCAGGACCTGTCACCACCCACACCACCGTCCCCACGCTGGGTCTCCGCAAGGGCAGTCTCGGCCCTGCAGGACCAGCTCCCCTGGTGTCCATGGCTTCCCTGGGAGGACAATCCTTGCCAGTTCTCCCCCTCCCCCTGCCTCAGCCCATTCGGAGAGATTTATATCTCCCATATAAACTGTACTTGTAAAGGAATAATTCATGGGCCCTGTTTGTTATTAATCTAGGGGTAATCAGACCAGGGTCAGCGAGGCCCATGGAACTGCTGGAATTTCAGCCGAAAGTGGATATTGTTCAGTCAAGACATCCTTGTCAAGAGGCCATGTGGGTCCTGCTGGACTTTCTGAAATAAGGAAACCAACTCAGGGACTCAGCATCCAGGATGAAAATCTCTGTGCTCCAAGTTTTTGAGTTCCCTCCAAAGTGCTAAGGGCCCGATTCTCCACATAGCCTTTCAGGGGTGTGGGGTAAACACACACTTACTGAGTATTTAATATATTCCAAGCATTGTGCTAACTAATTCACATACATTATCTCCATCGACGGACACAATACACCTAAGAGGTGGGTACTGTAATTAGACCCTACTTTATAAATGAAACGGAGGCTCACGACTTGCCCAATGTCAGACAGCTAGCAAGTGGCAGAGCCAAGGTTACGAAGTGGATTTGCTTAATGTCAAAGCCCTAACCCTGAACTTGGTGTGCTCTCAATTGTGCTTTCCTGGCTCTCCAGCCCACAGGGGGCTCTCCTGCAACAACTTTCTTCCAGGGATCATCCTCCCTCGTAAGGCAGAGAATCCTAGGGTGACTGGGAGAGTGGGGACCCCCAAGGTGGAAGTAGCCTCCCACCTGTGTCCAAGGGGGCCCTCACCCCATAATAAAAGCACAGCACAGAGCCCATGCCTACAAGGTCAGTCTCTGAGGCCTTGTCACAGCTGTTAGGTAGACACAGACAGTCCGTTCTCATTTCACAGGATGCCCACAATAGACCTGGGAGGTAGGCTCAGCTCATAATTCGCACTTTACAGATAAGGTCTTTCCAGATAAGAGTCT